TGGAATAGCAATGAACGGCCTCACCGGCCTTTGTACGATTCCTGGTGGCTCCGTCACAGCCGTCCTGTATCGAGACGAAATTCTACACCCTCTTGTGCGTCCTTTTGTAGCTGCAATGCGTTCCGACGCAATATTTATGGACCATAATGTCCGCCCACATAGAGCTCAAAAGGTGCGGAGATATCTAGAGAGTGAAACCATTTCATATCTGCCGTAGCCGCATTACTACACGAATGGGCGCTCACAGCCACAGCAAGCTATCAACAACACTATTGTCAGCATGCATGTCAACTTAAGCATGCATTTCCACTACAGGGTATCATACCCGTTGTTATTGTGATGTTTCCTTTGCATATTCTTCCGATCTATTTGCTGTTTCGCGATGTTACGGTCGCAATACATATGTTTTTGGTAGCTTTGCTTTATTGTTTCCTATGTGGTCTAGTAATGCCACACCAACATTTTGGATCAATTTCACGCATATCCATTAAATTGTTTTTGTTTTATTCTGTGTTCTGCCGTTGTAGCTTACTTTTGTAGCAGTAATAATGTAGTTTACTATAGTTTGGGGACTTAAGTTCCCACTTCTCCAGGAACGCCGTCTTCAGGACGTTTTACATATCTAGAAGGAAGATGCTGTCTCCATGCAACTGTTTTTTAAAGGTAATAGGATTAAGATCACAAGACTTTGTTAACCACGTTATTTGCTTGTTGTCTTTACTTTCAAGGAATTCATGAACGAGATCTGCTCCATGTGGAAGAAGATTATCATCCATAAATAAAAAATCAAATCCATATGCACCTTTCAAAAGTCTTACTTCTAAAGGTTCTGAGACTTCATCCCGATATCTTTGGCCGGTGACAGATCGGCTGCTGAAAATGTGTTAGGACATACGTCTACCGATTTATTCTTCCCCGTTAACGAAATGTTCACATTTCATAATGTCTGAAGGAAGATTTCAAGTTCCTGACCCTTTCCAGATGTAAACATGTTTACATTCAGATGTTAAGCTAAACCTCGACTCACCGGTAAAGGCAACGTAGGACCACTAGTGTTCATTCTAGTCCTGACTTTTTTGCACCCGTTAAAACGTTCCCTCTTTTGTTGTGAAGGCAGTGAAACATATGGCATTGGCTTCCTAGCTTAAAGGCCTTTTTCATTAAGCTTTCTGGATGCAGTCTGCCGTGATACAACAGCTCCAGTGGCTCTAAACCTTGAATTTAATTGCGGAACAGTAGAATTTTTGTTACGGCAGGCAGTTATTGCTAGATATCGATCTTAAGAATCAGTTGTTATTCGTTTACCTTGACCTTGAACAGGCCACCTTACAACTGAGAGTTCCTTGAGATATACACAAGTCAGAAGAGTCATTACAGACATGACTACAGTGGGCGATCAGCAAGAATCTTTGTTAACAAGAAAAACAATAAAATCATGCATGGCATTTGCAAAATCCATGGTAAGCAAAGATTTATCATATCGAAATATTATACTTACAGACGAGACAAAATTTAATATACAGGGTCTTTAAAAGTCCCGGGACCCATTTGATGTTTAATAAAACTCATAAAAAATGAAGATATAAACAAATTTATGGTTTATTGAGGAATAACTTATATTTTCCTTTTCAGGTTTGATATCTTTACTCTTGTAAATATCGTCTGCAGGGCGATTAATTTAGATAATTTATTTTTTCAGTCAAATATCACTTTCTAAGTATCGTCTGCTTATAATTGCATTTTCTTTGTTTTTGGCATCTTTCTGGCATTGTTAATCGCCCATAATGTGCGCATATGGGGATTAAAAAACCCGCATGAATACGTGGGCACAAAAGGTTCCCCAAAGGGTTTAGTGTGTGTGGACTAATGCACGATTAAGTCATTGGGCCTTTCTTTTTTACAGAAAAGACGGTTCATCAGTCGTATACTTACATGTTAGAAAACTTCGTATTTCCCACACTAGAAGCTTCAGCCACATGTCTTTTCGCAACAAGATGGTGCACCACCTCATTGGGGTACCATCGTTCGTAGTTCTTTGAATGACCATTTTACAGGAAGATGAATTCGGCGAGGAAGTCCAATCCTAATTACTATCCTAAGGAAGCATCTGCAGACTCCTAGATAAGGGATTTTGCATTCTGAGTTACCTTATCACTGTAATTACATACGAGTCCTATTTAATCCAATAACTTCATGTTCTGAAAATGCAATTAATATGTTTTCTGGATTTGCAGTACATGTACTACTCTAAATCGGCTTTTTCTTCTAAAGAATTTGAATTAAGTAGTTATAAAATATAGAAAATGTATAGTTTTGGTTGAACATGTTGTATGATCCATATGTTTTTATTATTATCCATTTGAATGACACAACAATATTTCAAAAACTGTTCTTCCCTTTTTTGTCCGAAAAGTTTCAATTCTTCCCATCCCCTTTCTTCACAATTCAACTTGACTTGCACGCAACCTGACTTTTCACGTTTCCAAATTTACATTTTTATTCTTTATCCCCATTTGACACTATACAATTCCTTCTGTTGGTTAACTGTCACATTAAATAAGGACTTCTACAATTTGTGAATAATATTATATCAGATCTGCACTGCATTAAATACCACGTTAAATAAAATATAACTGAGCACATTAATAAGATCATAATTGTATTAAATACCGCATTAAATAAGGTATTTATCTCTATTATCAAATAATGAAGAATCTCTGTGCATGTATGTATGTTCTTTGCATTCTAGAAAAATGACAGAACCTAGAGTCACCATATTTTGAATAAACACAGTCCTCCATGCAAAAATGTGCACCTTGAAGCCCTAATTTGGAATTTATTTCTTTCATGTTTTATGCAAGCTTAATGAAATTTTAAATACAGATAGGGCGATTTAAAAGCAATGTGTTGCCATTTGACAAAGCATATTTCAGATCTAATCAGAAAACTCAGTGATTTAAAAGAAAAGTGCTGCTGCTCGAAAAAAAAAACGTAATATATTTGTTTTTCAAATTTAATGTTTCATGTGCCAGTGTGCTGCCATTCAACAAAGCTTGAAACACTTATCTTCAGAATTTAATCTGTAATTTCTTGTTAACAAATTAAGTGATTTAAAAGCAATACACACAATTTTCAATAATATTATTTTCTGTTGTTTGATGAACTTAAAAAAAAATGCACTTAATTCATGATGCATTTCATTAAAAACATTAAATCTTTTTCTGAAATTATGTTAGTTGGACTCATTAAAATCATTATATATTTTTCTTTTTCATTATAACTATTTTAGGTCGTGGCCAGGCAACTAGTTAGAAATACACACTGCTATAGAGAATTCGCATTTCATTAGTCCCCGTCATATTATTTATTTCTCCAGATCGAAAATATTTTTTACAACTTTCTTATGATATTATTATAAATATTTTAGAATGTAAAGTACATTTAAATTTGTTTCAACTGCTTATCTACTTTAGAAAAGCTCTATAATCATACTATTTAATCATGATAACACACAACAGGAAGTAGGAATATATAAAATGATATTTAACATATGAAAGGAATCTAAAATGACTTCAATTTTTAAATTCAAAATTATTTACTTCTACCAAAGTATCAAGTCGATGTTTAATAAACAAAAATTAAGAACCCCACAATAAATTATCTTCAGTTAAATGAGAGTTAACATTCTCAACATAAACTCATATTATTTACAAATATTAAAAGGAGTTTCAGAAGTATAGTGTTTTCAAAGTTAAAAATATTGTTAATGTTTGGATATTCATAAATATTTATAATGTTTCTATTCTTCATTCTTGAACTGAAAAAAAAAGGGTAAAAATATATTTACGGGTGCCCCTTGACGATAATATGCGATTTGTGGCGGTACATGGACACCGAGTTTGTGCAATTCTTTGACTTGTTATTTTGGCTTTCTGTATCGGATTTTTCCGCCAAAAATCGCCGCTACACAAATTCAAAATAACAAGTCATAGAATTGCACAAACTCGGTATCTATGTACACATCAACGTATTTTGACTTAAAAAAAATCAGAGAACTGCTCAAACTAGGCATTGCGCACTCCCTTGATTTTGTCCATGAACACATGTATCTATTCACTTAAGATGTCAAAGGAGGAGCCAACAAAAAATATATAATCTCAATAAACTACATTTTAAATCAAGCACTGAAATAACATAAGAAAAGGAAATATCCACTTACCTTATTTATGGATTTACGAGTTTTCCGTCAAACAAAATTCCTTAACAGCATCCAAAAACTTCTTAAAATTATCTAAGCTAGAATCTGTATTCTGGCATCGTCACATAAATTCACAAAAATAAGAGTAAAAAATATCCTCCATAGTGCTGATATCATCTGACCATATGCATTTCCTTCCCACAAACAGGACACTTAATAATGGCTACTAAGTAAACCTTCACTTGCACACCAGTCAAATAATGCTTTTTTCCCTTTCATTCTAAAATCGTACAAAACTTCAAATTAATCTTACCACATTCAGCTATTTTACCATGTAAATCACAAAATAACAACGTACTTATTTGAAAATCCGATGCACACTTTTCACATCTTTTTCCGTAATTCAAACTGACTGCAATTATGCAACTAATTAGGTCATAATAGGGTTTCCATAGCATTCAACTACTCAGATGACCATAAATGAAACAACAACTTTGTGATAAATGAAACAATAACTTTGCGATAATCCAAGGGACACCCATTCATCTACTCTAACCAAAAAAGTAAACAGGAGGGATGAAAGAATATGTCGAAAAAAAAAAAAAAAAAAAAAAAAAAAAAAAAAAAAAAAAAAAAAAAAAAAAAACAAAAAAAAAAAAAAAAAAAAAAAAAAAAAAAAAAAAAAAGGGGGGGAAAAAAAAAAGGGGGGGGGGGAGGAGGAAACATTTATTTACAATTTATAATTTTTTTATACAAATATAATTTTTATTGGAATTTATTTGTTGTTTTCTTCTTGTTACAGTTGCAGTTGTAGTAGCCTTCTTCATCTGCTGGGCTCCATTTCATGCTCAAAGATTAATGGCCATTTATGTTCACCAACAAACACCCACTGCAGTTATGATCTATACAATACTGACTTATATATCTGGAGTGACATATTACGTTAGTGCCACCATTAATCCAATACTGTACAGCATTATGTCAAATAAATTTCGACAGGCTTTCAAAGACACTCTAGCTCACTGTTGTAGGAAGAATGTTTATTATGACAGGTCTTCATCCAGATATAGTTCTTATCGGCCAAGTCGCTACAGTGCAACTCGTTCAACCCAGAGTTCATTTTACAATAGTAATTCATCATTCAAAAAGAGAAAACCTGAAAATAAAAACATCACATGATTCTAGTTTCAAAACCAAAGCTACTACTAAAGTCATACCTAATGACATTATTCTCAAGAATGGAAATCAATGATATTATTATATATAGCTGAGTAAGAAGATGGAATATGGAACAGATGGGGGCTGATTCCAGCCATATTGAAGAATATAGTATATATGTCAATCTCATCACCTAACTGTACCATAACATTATAAAATCATGAACTTCATATGGCCATTTCAAATAGCTAGCAATGGTTCTTTATACTTACTCATGGTATGAATGTAGGGATGATCATTTGTTATCATGTTATATTGTGGACTTTTTCAGTGGAAGTTCATATGAACCAACTATTTTGAAAAATTATTTTCCATAAATAAATTTTTTTAAATGTTTATAGATGTGTTTTGCCTTTGTTCTGTTTAAGCTTTGTTCTGATGCTTAATAAAGCACAGCATTTTAGAATAAAATAAAAGCACTTGTAAATTCATACACATATTTTTAAAAAATTAAACATATTTTATATAACCTGTCTTATATTATGAAAGAAATTCTAAAAATTAAAAGGTTTTTTGAATTTTATTAAAATTTAAAATATAAGTCTAAAATTTTTAAGTTTATTAAATTTTAAAAGTTTATTATTACACTGCTTTATTGAATTATTATACATACTGTGTCTT